ATCCGAAAAAGAAGGGGATGATCTTGAGAATCCGAAAAAGAGGGGGGCGGGATTGCCCAAACCAGCGTCTCGCCCGAGACGTCCCCACGATGTGGGCGCGATCTAGCACGTGCACCATCCTCTGGCAGCTCTTCTCTGGGGTGTCCATGACTACCTGCCAGACCACCCCAACCCAACCCGAAGACCCGAATTTCGGGTTTTGGGGGGGAAGGGATCCACATGTGTTTTTTCGATGTTTCCCGACACCCTCTCACTGGAAATCGAGGGTAAATCTGAGCCTTCGGGTTGGGTTGGGGTGGTTTGGTGGGTGGTGAGTCCACGAGCTTCACATGTTCGGTCGAAGTAACCATCATGAGCCATAGGCCCTCAGATGAAGGAGTCGGGGCCGCCAGACGAGCGAACCGCTCGAGGCATCCCCTCGATCGGGGCGCGACAGAAGACATGCCACACCCCCCGGCGGCTCATGTTTGGGGGGCTCGACTGGCTGTTCTGCCGTATCGCGGTGGCCAGGAAGCTCCCGAAAGGCAGGAGCCGGGGCCGCCAAACCAGCGAACAACCCGCTCCATCCCCAAAACTTGGGCGAGAGCGTGGAAGAGTCCTACCCCATGGCTGCTCCTCCTTGCTGCTATATCGCGGTGGCCATGCGGCTCTTGAAAGACAAGAATCCGGGTCGCCAAACTAGCGAACCGCAGGCCCCACCCCCCAAATCTGGGCACGAACGGAGACATGCAACACCCCTTGGCGTTTCATCCTTTGGGTGCTCAGTGGTATGCCTGTGATACCGAGACGGAGATGACCGAATCTGAATACGGGGAGCGAGAATGAGGGGGGAGGAGACTAGCAAGAAGAAGGAGGAGGAAGGAGGCAGGTGGAGGCATCAAACTGGCTGACAACAGGAACCCCACCGCAGGTGGGGGAGACTCAACTCGTCGGAAATATGTGCGGATGCCGCAACGGCATCGCTCGGACGTGTGAATTTTGTTCCTCTCGGCGAGGGCTGTCGAGGAGCATCCTTCGGAGGAGGAAAATGCACCCATATCTCTACCCTTCGCCTGTTCTTCCCTTCTTGGGCCTCCTGGGAGGCCCTCGTCGCCACCGCTGGATTCGCCTCGAAATTCTGGTCGGAATCAACTCGTCAACGGCCGCAATTTTCCACCCTGCTTCCGCCGCCGCTTCCCTTGGCCTCCGAGTCACAACTCGGCTCTCCGGCGGCCACGCGGGACGACGGGGAGACCCCCGGGAGCGCTCTCGGCGTGGCGCAGCCTCTGGACACCCCGAGGCCGGAAAGCCGCCGAGAGCCGACGAAAACATCCGAAAACCTCGAAGCTGGTTTTTCCCCAATCAGAGCTTGCCTCTAGTAAGGGTCCTAGCGGATTCATATGTTTTGCCGCCGATTTTCGCCGCACGCCTGGGTGCCCGGGTGCCCAGGCGTGCCCCGGGTGCCCATCCGAAAACCTCGCAGCTGGTTTTTGATCTGTTGTTTGAATTCAAGAACGGTTCTTTTTTGAATTCAAAGACCAGTTTCTTGAATTCAAGAACCCGTTCTTTGGATTCAAGAGCCCCCTGACGTCGGGCGACCATCCTACTCTGAGAGGCTGTGCGCAGCTTCCGCCCCCCCCCCCCCCCCCCCCCTGACCTGTGCGCACACCAGGAGTTGGGCGCGCAGGGCTGGCTCTTCGTCATGAATCGTTTGTTGACGGTGCCCACCCCGGCGAGGGCCCCCAGCGCCGAAAACTGAAAAACCTACGCCTCGAGTTTCTCGAGACGTTGGCGGTCTGGGAGCGGTGGTGCGCAAATTCTGGACCCCCGTTAACCTGCGCGTGCGCCGCTGCTCCCCAGACCTCTCCCGGGGTGCGTTCTGACCGGAATCTCGAGGCGAATCCAGCGGTGGCGACGCGGGCCTCCTGGGCAGCCCCAGAAGGGCGAAGACGTGGCAACGGTAGAGGTATCGGCACCCTCTTTCCTAGAGATCCGATGTCCTGATTTTTTCAATACGGGCTCCCCGGAAGTCTCGACCCATTCCCCAGGACTGGCTTTCCGTCCTGAGTCGTTCTGTTGACGGTCCCGAGGCCCGGCGAGGTCCTCTCGAGGCCGAAAACGGCGAAAAACCTCCGTCTTGAGTTTTTCGATGCGTTGGATCTCTGGGCTTCCACCTCTGATGGGGCGCACCCATTGTTCCCCCGCGGACCTGGGCGCACAGCAGGCGGGCGCGCAGCAGCAGCAGCAGCCCAGCGCGCGCAGCGGCGGCAGGCGCCCCCCGGACGGGCCCACGACCTCGGGCGGGGGGCCTCCGGAGCTCTCCCAAGCGGTTCCGCCCCCAGGCGGGAGGGCGCAGCCGACGTCGCCGCCGACGGCGACGCCGACGAGGGGACGCCGACGTCGTTTCGGAGGTTTCCGGGTCACTGAAGGAAAGTGCCCCGTAGGAAGACAATCGTTCGAACGCCCTTCCTGGGGCTTCAGCGCCGCTAATCACCGCTACTCTTGCGCCTTGACGACCCTGAACCTTGCCATACCATCATTCTTGGGACTGCAACACCGCAAAGCAGCATAACTGTTGCGCCCTGACAGTCCGACATCGTGCCAAAACATCAGTTCTCGGACGGTAGCCAGAAAAACCTTGCAACGCATATCAACTGATAATGCGAATGTGCGCGGCGAGACCCACATTTCGAAAAAGAACATACCTCCATCCGCGAAGCACGCGCAATGTGTGTAAGACGAATGTGCGCGGCGCTAAAGCGAGAGCCACATGTTGAACGCGGCCCACCTTCCATCCACGAAGCTCTTGCATATTTGTTTAACGAATGTGCGCGGCGCTAACGCGGGAACAACATTTTGAAAACGGGCCGCCCTCTATCCGTGAACTTCTTGCATGTTTTGCTTAACGAATGCGCGCGGCGCTAAATCGACAAACACATGTTGAAAACGACCCGCCCTCCATCCGTGAAGCTCTTGCATGTTTTTGCTTATCAAAAACCATGTGCGCGGCGTTGAAGCGAGAACCACACGTTGAAAGTGGACCGCTCTCCACACGTGAAACTCTCCTTACAAAGTGGACCCCTCTCCACACCTGCACTCGCTAGCCACGCTGTTGAAAGAAAACGAATTTCTCCTCCTCCTCCCTCCTCCCCCTCTGTCCACGTGAGCACTCTGAGGAACTGAAGGTTTTTATCTTGTCCCCCCCCGCTGTTCCTCATCCTGTTCGTTCTCCTCCTCCTGCCCCTCCTGCTCGCCCTCTTCGTCGTCGTTCTCGCCGCCTCCATCCTCGAACCGCCGAAGGAGCCACCAGGGGATTTCAGCGCCGACCCAAGAAATTCGAGCCGCTCTTCACAGATGTATTATATGCGGATGTTTCATCGTCGATTCCGCGAAAAAACAAACCTCGACGACGGCTCGGAACGCGAATGCTCGGGGACTGGGGCGCGCTTGGAATCTCACGCCGACGCGCCTTGGGGTCCGAACTGGCGGCGCGATACGCCGAGCAGACGTTCCTCCCAGACATCCGACGTCGTGATTGTTGTCCGGAACGTGGCCCCCAGAAGTCTGGACCCCTTTCCCTGGACCGGCTTTCCATTCCGAGTCGTGCTTGAGGGGCCCGCCGCCGCCGCCCAGCGCCGCTCCCCAGCGAGCTTTGAGTACGCGGGCACCACAGGTGTGCGAGACGGTCAGGCGCCGGGCAAAGCGAGCGTTGGGCTGCACAGGAAGCAGCTAACACATGCACGGAGCGAAAGAGCAAGAGACGAGAGCGGAGACAAAGACGGGGCCCGATCAAGGACGGGGCGGGAGTGCCGGGAGGGCATGCAGCTGCGTAAGAGCAGCAAATCACCTGCCAGAGGCGGAAGACCTCAGAAGAAGAGCCGGAGGCCGAACATGATAAAACAAAACGTCCCTCCGTGCTTCCTCCACGACGCGAGGATGTCATGGGGGACCTCTGAACACTTTGACTTGCGCCACTTGCTCTTCTTTGCCGTCCCTCCGCGTAGGCGGCCAGTCCCAGCACCTCCAACGGGGCCAAGTCGACCCACCCCAAACCTCGCCGACCGAATTCCTCCCTCTTCCTCCTCCTGCTCGTCCTGCTCCTTCTGCTCCTCCATTCCTCTTGTCTTCCTCCTCCTGCTTGTCCTGCTAATTCTTCCTGTTCGTCGTCCCCCTCCTCCTTCTCCTCCTCCTCCTCCTCCTCCCTTCCTCCCTCCCTCCCTCCCTCCTCCTCCTCCTCCTCCCTCCTCCTCCCTCCCTCCTCCTCCTCGTCCCTCCTCCTCCCTCCTCCTGCCCGTCCTCGCCATCGTCCCCGCCGCCGCCCTCGTTAGCCCGGGCGACCGGCCCCAGCACCTCCCAACAAGCCACGAGCCCGCGCAGCGTGCGGGGCCACAGCCCGCCCACGCGCGCGCGCGGCTCGCCCGCGCCGCCGGGGGCGGGCGGCTCCAGCCGCGGGGGCAGCCGGCCCCGCCCGAAGACCTCGGGGAGAGGGCCCTCGGCGGACTTCCGGGGCCCCCGGTGGCCCTCGGCGGCCCTCCGCGGCCCCCGGCTGCCCTCCGCGGCCTTCGGCGGCCCTCGGCGGCCCTCGGCGGCTCTCGACGACCTAGCCTTCCGCGGCCCTCGGCGGCCCTCGGCGACCTCGGCGGCCCGCGGCGGCCAGCCCCTGGCATCGAATCGAATCGGGCTGGCAGAGATATCGAGTCGGATCGAACTGGGCCCCTGTGCGGAGGCCAGGTGGTGATGTGCTTCCCCGCGCCCGTCGGACACCGCGGCGCATGTCCCACGCGTGGAGGCGGGGGAGGACAACAACATGCCTTGCCCAGCCGTAAGACGAAGGCAAAGCGAGGATAAATCTGGACGTGGCCAAGCTGGGAGTCTCTGAGAGCCAGCGGGTCATGTGTCGGGTGCCGTTGCATTCCCATTGCGTTCCGAGACGCTCACAGAGCGTTCCAGGACGCTCTGGGACGATCAATCCCCATCCTAGGCATGCATGACCCTCCCCCCCCCTCTCGTCGTCGTCGTCGTCATCGTGGTTGCCGTCCCCCTTGTCGTCGTCCTCCTCCTCCTCCGCCTCCTTCTCCCCCTCCTCCGTCTCCTCCCTCTTGTCGGGGAGGGGCGAGGGCAAGGCACCCCTTTGTTCCTCCCAGGAGGTGCTCGTGGTCGTGCCAGTTCCAGAAGAACCAGCCGTGCGACGCGGTGTCGTAAGCCCGCACCTGCGCCGCGGCGAAGGCGGCAATCTCCTCCTCGGCGAACCTGCCAGGCCTGGGGATCGCGTGCGGAACAATCGGCCAGCGTATATGGCATCGAAGTACTGCGCAACCAAAAAGAAAGTTCGGCTGAAACATTCAAACAGAACGTCCCGGAAGCATGAGTCGTGCGCCTGCCCCGGTCTGTTGGAGCTCCTATTGGAGCGGCATGTCTTCAGAAGTAACAAGCACCCCGTCCAGGCACTTTGTATACGCGGCCTCCGCACACGGTGCCACTGCTAACGAGGGTGCCCTTTCCAGTCATGCAATGCACTTGAAGCAACTGAGAAGTTGAGTCAGCTGTGACCGTCTTACCTCGTTGGAGCCTAGATTTGTTCGATCCTCTTCTCCTTATGTGCATACCTCCTTTCTCCTCCCACTTTGCTCCCTCTTTTATCATCCCTCCTGCCCTTCTCTGAGCCCCGCCTCGCCAAGCTCCACTCCCCGACGAGCGCGGCCGGCATGGAGGCCACCTCAACGAGGGGGGAGAGAGGAGGAAGCATGAGATCGAGTGAGGAGGATGCAGGGAGAGGGAAGAGCGATGAGGTCGGGGTAGAACAGGAGGGGGACGGATGGGAAGGAGAAGAAGAGGATGAGGAGGATGCGGGAGGAGGAGGAGGTGGGAGGGATGAGGCTAAGGAACCCAACAAGTTAGGAGGAGAGAGAGGAGGAGGAGGAGGAGGAGGAGGAGGAGGAGGAGGAGGAGGAGGAGGAGGAGGAGGAGGAGGAGGAGGAGGAGGAGGGAGGACAACGAGGAAGAGCACGAGGAAGATGAGGATGTGAATGATGAGCCCTCCTCGAGGCCGTGGTCCTCGCAGATGTCGAGGTGCTGCCGGTGCGACGGGAGCTTCCAGACGGCCCGAGCCCAAGAGATCTACCACGGCCACCACCCAGCACACCACGTCCTCATCCGCACCACCACCACCACCACCAGAACATCATCACCATGACCACCGAGTCCTTCTCATCCTCCTCATCACCACCGCCCTCTAATCTCCCAGCTCCTTCCCCGTCATTTCCTCCTTCCTCCTGCGTGATCCTCCTCCTCCTCCTCCTCCTCCTCCTCGTGTATCCTCCTCTCCTCCCCCCCCTCCCTTCACTTCATCCAGCCACCTGCTCCCTCCACCTCCTGCCGCCCCCGCACTCCCCAGGAGGAGGAAACCAAGGAAGAGGATGGGCAGGGGAGCCGGCAGCGGAGAGGGCGGAGCGGAGCAGCGGTCCGGAGTCTCTGGGGCTCGGAGGCGGGGCGGCTCCCCCCCCGTCTCGCAGCGGAGGAGGGGAGCGCGTGGCGCTGGGCTGCCCCCCGCAGGTCGCCTGCGCTTCGCGCCTGGCGCCGCACGGGGCGCGGCCGATCTCGCGCGGCCACCGCGGGGAGGGGCAGCTCTCTGGGCCCAGGCCGCGGGGAGCCGAGGGGGGAGCGGTCGTGTCCGCGCCGCTGCGGAGGGCCCGGGGCTCCACGGCGAGGCGCCTCCTGCTCCCTGCGCCGCTGATTCTGTTGTCGGTCCCGTTCCCCGCTTCCCCGCGAGACGGAGGGAGCCAGGGGATGGGGCTGAAGGTGTGGTAGTAGTGCACGTCGAAGGCCACGTTGTCGAACCGCAGGAAATTCCCCCTGCGGCACCTGAAGGATCCGCTGCATCTGCACCCCGACCTGGTACTCCTCGGTCCTCCTCCCTCCCTCCCACCCCTCCTCATCCGTCCCTATACTGCCTCCCTTCTCCCTGCTCTTTCGCGCCCTGCTTCCCCCCCCTGCCCCACTCATCCCAATCTCAGGAAGGGGTGGGGATGAGAGGGGGGGGAATACGAGGCGGGAAACATCACGAGACCAGGTTGGCAGGTGCAGCGGGGATTCTGGCAATCTCCCAGCACCACTCTTGCATGACCTCGGGGATCACCAGCTGTCCATACGCCGATGCTGCCCAGGCCAATCCCAGGCTCAAGATAGCCGGACACGCCTCGCGAAACGTGTCCAGGAAGGTGAAGAATACCGATCCTGGGCCCTGGATTGGCCTGGCAAGATCGGTGGGATCCGGCGCCGAGAAGACAACGTCTGAAGCGGTGCGACCAAAAGTGCGACCGAGGCTATCGACCCCACGTTTCTGCGGTATTCCTCGGGCGTGGCGCCCGGCGCCCGGTGAAAAAACGCTCGAAGTGCGGCCGCTGCTCTCGACCTCACCTCTCTGTGGCATTCCTCGGGCCAGCCCCGGCGCCCGCCGCGGAGCTCCGGGAGAGGAAGCGCCCGCCGTGACTTCCTCGCAGCGTGCGGATCTGAGTGGGAACGTGAGGGGCGGGCCCAGCTCGGGGGGGAGCAGCGGGCTGGAATCGGCGGGTACATTGCCGACAGATCGGCGATAGGCCCCCGACGCAGCGAATCCGCAAGTTTCTGGGCGGGGTGGGGGCATCGGACCCCCATCGGGGATGAACGGGCGCTTGGGGGTCGATGCGCCCCCGCTGAGCCTATGCCGCCCGAATCGACGTTGCCCTCATGGATGGCTGGCGCCCCCGGCAGTGGAGGCAAAGAAACAGAGGGCCATGACCAGGACTGAGCGAGGAAACGCCGGTGCCGATCTTGGCCACCGTCCATCTTGGTCACCGTCGATTCGTGGATCATCCTCGCGACGGCCAGCACGGACAAGACCATGGCCGAGATCGACGTCGACAAGACCCCGCGACATCGTGGCCAAGGCCAGCGTGCTTCTTCCTCGAGGCAGGGCCTCGGCGCTGCGGAAATGCGTGAACACCGCGAGCACCACGGCCACGCGCTCTGGGCCCATGCCGCCGGCACGGACGGCGCCGATTGCCCGCTCACGGGGCCGCGAGCGCTGGGCCCCCCGAGGGGGCTGAGGAGGAGAGAGGAGGAGGGAGGAGGAGGAGGAGGAGGAGGAGGAGGAGGAGGAGGAGGAGGAGGAGCAGGAGGAGGAGGAGGGAGAGGAGGAGGAGGAGGAGGGCGAGGAGGAGGAGGAGGAGGAGGAGGAGGAGGAGGAGGAGGGGGAGGGGGGAGATGACGACGACGACGACGACGACGACGACGACGACGACGACGACGACGACGACGACGACGACGACGACGACGACGACGACGACGACGACGGGGGCCCACGACAGGAGCCAGAGCAGACAACACCACCACCACCAAGGCGAGGCGGTGGTGTGGTCTCCCTCCCCCCCCTCGCAGCTCGGGGAGGCACCGTGGACCTCCTCGCCGGAGGTGGCCCCCCTGGTGGCGGTGTTGCCTCTCCTTCCTCCGTCAAGAGGGCGATCGGCCAGACCAACTCGAGCAGGGGGGGCTCGTAGGCGATCAGGCGGGCCCTCGAGGGAACAGCAGAAGGCCCTGTGGCGAGCAGGCAGACCACTCGGCCAGGAGGGGCCCCGGAGAGGCCTGTGGGTGACCAGGCAGGCCCCCAGGGGCGGTCGGGCAGACCACTCGGTCAGGAGGTGCCCAGAAGGGGTGCGGGCGGCGGGGGAGGCGATCGTGCAGGCCCTGAGCGAGCACGGGGGGCCCCGGGGGAGGCCAAGCAGACCCAGGCTGCGGGAACGGAGCACGATCGCGCGCAGCAGCCCAAAGGGAGCCGCGCGGACTCGCGGGAGCAACAGCTGGGTCGCAGACTCCTTGGCAGCGCAGCTTGGTCTCACACGTGCTCGATGAGCTCCCGGCCGTCTCCGCGGCTGGCCTTTCGGCGTTGGTTGCTTCGCTTCATTACTTTCGAGACGGTCTGGGGCGAAGGTAGTCATAAGCACTCTCGTGCAGCTGGGCTGCCCCCCTCGCTCGGACACTGGAACGCTGGCAGGCTGGAGCTGCCTGGGACTCCCCAGGTGCCCAGCACTGCAATGGCCAAATTGCCCATTGCGTTCGACGGGCATTCAGTTACGCGCAGCGCCCAGATACCAGGCCATGAGCCGGGTCCAGATCCATGCCACTCGGTTGCCAAACAAAGGTCAGCACGAAAAGAAGCTGGAACTCGACCCAGCGGTCAAGTGCAAGGCGCTTGATGTCTAGAGGTCGTGCGCAAGTCCCAGAACTCGGCCCTCAGTTCGTAGGACGAGACGCTCAATATGCCTTGAACGTTAACATGTCTGGCCAGCCTTTTCCATCGAGACTCTCCAACGCCGAGTGCGCCAATACTTACAATTTGAGGCCAACTTCTCGTGCAACCAGGCGGGCCACGAGTGTGGCACATCGAGAGCGCAGCTCACAGCTCGGGACAAGACAGCCGACACAACCTGCCAGTGCACCAGCTCGAGCGTGCATACTGAGATGCGATAATGGAACACCACGTGGCTAGACTAAGGCACGTACATCGACGCCAGCCATGAGTGTAGCACCTCTGTCGCACTACGCGGAGTTCGGGTGTGGACCACAACCTTGCAGGAGCAAACCGAGCAAGTCACGAACGTGACACCTCGGCCGCACAACCCGAAATTCGGGCACCAGCCACCGGCCACCATGCTGCGAACGCAGACCGCTGCAGACCAGCAGTGCACCACCTCGCAATCGGAGTTTGGGTGTGGGCAATGGTAGTGCGAACTGCCATCGAGGCTGGCAGCGAGGACGACAGACACCTCGAGCCTCAACTCGGAGTTCAGGTGCGCGCCACCAGATACAATTCGGGACCCGTGCCGGTGATGTCCAGAGTCCACGCCAGGCGACGGGCCTGGGGTTCGGCCAAGCGGCAGAGCAACGGGGTACTCTGCCCTGCCCTCGGTGCCCCAGAGCTCGGGCTCTGGGGCTGGCGTTCGGCGCTCGGCTGGGTCAACTGCAGGACTGCCAGAATCAAGGTGTCAAGCATGCCGAGGAGCACATACCTGGCTGGCCAGCCTTCTCCGCCTGCGCCCTCACGCGCCTGAAACGCATGCTTTCACGCTCCGAACAGAGGAACAAATCTTCAGTAGAGATCGATCGGCCTGGTCTATCGCAGTCGAAACCCGTCGAGCAGCGTTGGATCCATGGCGATCGCCCCTGGGCCCCCCCGCGTGCCCTTGGAGGGGCCAAGCGGCCGCGGGCAGATAAAAGTCGCACAGCACCCCGATGGGTATCGCCTCGCTGGGCTCGTTGCAGACCTCGGCAGGGGCGGGCAGTCGACTCGGCCCCCCTCACCTCCCTAGAGCGCAGACAATCCACCCCGATACTAACCACCCTGACACGCGATGCCGTTTCGTAAACGCGCCCACAGAAGGAATCGAACAGGGCAGGGCTGCGTACTAGACGCCCATGGCCGTTAAGTAAACGCCAAACGCCAGTTGTCCGGTCCGGGTGTTTTTTCCTCCCTTGACTCCCGCCCCTCGCTGCCAGGAGCGCCCGGCCGCCGAGGAAGGCCGCCCGCCGCATCCCCATCTCCCTCTCGGGTCTCTCCCCGCCTACTCCATCTCTGGCTGTCAGGCGGGGTCACCAGACGATTCGGAGGAGCAGGCCTTGGCGCTCGTTCTTCCGATGGAAAAGTAGTCGCGCTGCTTCTCTATCTCTTGAAATTGCCGCCTTCTGTGTTGAGAGTTTCTGCCACGAGACCCGTAAGACACCCGTTGCGACGTTCAGCAGCAACAGCCTTCCTTACTCTTCCTCGCTCCTCCGCCCTTTCTTTTTCCTGCACCTCTTCTGTCCTGCCCCCACCCCGAAAAATTCTCCGGACGGGTGGGGGGGGGGCAAGCGGGAATGCACCGCTTCTGATGAGGGGCAGCACGAAGAGGGGCCGCACGATGAGGGGCCGTTCAGACTGCGACATGGTTGTGGAAGCCTGACGACGTGCCGCCCCACGGGAGAAGATTGAGAAAGCACTAGCGTCTGAAGAAAGGGGTTGTAGCCACTTCATTATCCTGATGCGGAGGCCTCCGACATGGGGCCCGAGCGCATGTGGTCGGAGGATCGCGCCGCATCGCCGATACATCGGCGACGGCGGGATGGAGAAGAACGGGCTCCAAATCGCACCGCACCGCCGATGCATCGGCGATGCGGCGCGATCCTCCGACTCATGTGCTCAGCTCTGGACCCATCTGGGAGGCCTGGATCAAAGAAGGGCGCGAGGGGGGTGTAGAAAAGAAGAGAAAGACATCAACATTAGAAAGCCAAGACATGCGTGTAGACCTCTGAAACTCGATGTTCCCCCGAACATTGGACTTAGGGTGTCTTGCATGCTTGTCTAAGGGAACTGGGCCGGGAGCTTGGTCTGGCGGCTATGTTCTCGCCGTGGCCGCCAAGTCGCCGCCCGTCCTCTGGACCTGGCTGGCGGTCTGGCGGCTATTGTTTGCCGCCGTCGCCGCCTCATCGCCGGCACATAGATCGCACCACATATAGTGCACATTACGGATCGCGCCATATAGAGTGAACCTCAGAGATTGCTGTTGCACAACATATGTTGCACGCCAAGCATGGCACAGTGCACAACATAGATGCGACACCATAAACTGCCCAACATAGATTGTACCACCTCTATTGCACCGCATAGGTTATCCAGCGCACCTTGCGCAGCATAGACTTCAACACATACATGGTACAACGTATATTGAACAACCAACATTGCACCACATTGATTGCTCCACATAAATTGCTCAAAATTGACTACCCCATAGACTGCACCACGCATATTGCGCCATATCGATCACACAACCGATACTGCACCACAAAGATTGCACAACATACATTGCACCACAAAGAGTGCAGTATATATATGTATATATATATATATATACAAGTGGCACGTGTGTGCCCAGGCTCATACAAAAAGCTGAAGGGGCGTTCGAAGCAGGAGTGACATGCAACAGCGAAGTCGCACTCGAGCGCAAGTGGGGTTGCCACACCTTGCGATGTGTGTACCAGGGCCCCCCAGGAGAAGCCTCAGGAGGCCCGACTTGGATACCAGAAGAGGCTCCAGGAGGCCCCAGGATTGTGAGTGTTGTGTGTGTGATGTGTGCTTTGTGTGGTGCGTGCTTTTTGTGTGTTGTCGGTGTTGTGTGTGTATGTTATGTTTGTCTAGCGTGTGATGTGTTGGGCGTGATTTGTGTCTCTGTGTGTGCATGTAGTTCTGAAGCCCAAGAAGGCCCCAGGCGGCCTCAGCAGGCCCAGGAGAACTCCAGGAGGCTCCGAGGCGGGGTCTGGGGTACCAGAAGGTCCAGAAAGCCCCAGGAGGCCCCAGGACGTTCCAGGAGGCCCCCAGGAGGCTCCGAGGAGGGGTTTGGGGCTCGATGTTGGGAGGATGTCTCAGGCGAAACCGCCATTCTCTGAGAATCGGGGTCAACATTATTGAAATTACCATGTGCTTTTGAAGGTTTTATGTTAAAATGTTGAAATTCCCATGTGTTTTTGGACCTCTCCTTCACGATCTGCGTGAGGGGTGCCACCGATTTTCAGAATTTCGAGGATGTCCCTAGCGAAACGGCCAGAAAAAATCAAAGACGGACGCACGCACGGACGCATTAATCCCCTCTGAGCTCTACTCCCTCGGAGAGGTGCGTATGAGAATATACACATATATATATATATAGAGGTGTGTGTGTTGCTCCACAAATACTACACAGCATACATTGTTAAAGACACTGCTTGGAATCTTCGCTGGCCAGCATGCATGTAGTTTCCTAAGCAGCTTGTCTCCCATTCAAGTCCTATACGTGGACTGCTGGGTCCAGAATCGGCCGGGCGCGGTGGCCTCCCAAGGTCTCCCGTGGCCTCACCTTGCCTCCCGTTCGCATGTTTACCCGCATCTGCACTCGAATGGATACACAAGTGCCAGTCGCACGATTAATCTCATGAGTTTTCACATTCGTGTATGGGTATCTGCACTGGTATCAATACAATGCGCAGTAGCATCAGGATCATCTTTTGCGTTGGTATTCGCAGCAACAACCCTAATAGCAATCGCATTGGCATTCGCACTGGCGATAGTACTAGTTATTGTCGCATGCATGTTGTATTGGTACCAGTCTCAGTACGAGTGCTCGCATTAGTACTGGTATTGCGATTACTCTAATTCGTATTGATGGTAGCATGGGCACTCGTGTTCGTTGAGTATCCGCGGACCCCGCGGACCTGGTAGTAAGAGTAGTAGACTGCGCACGAATTGGCCTGGCTATAAACAAGACTACGCGTCTTCGTAATATGAGTATAGTAGGAAATAGTAGTAGTAGTAGTAGTAGTAGTAGTAGTAGCAGCAGCAGCAGTGGTAGCAAGACAAAAAGTAGTACTACTACCACCAGCAGTCGTATACGTACCTGCATTCGTAGAAATGGAATTCGTAGACGTTGTCGTAGCAGTCGTAATGGTTTTAGTCGTAGCCTTGGTCGTCGTGGTCGTCGCCATCGTAGCAGTACTAGTAGTCATAGTAGTCATAGTAGTAGTAGTAGTAGTAGTAGTAGTAGTAGTAGTAGTAGTAGTAGTAGTAGTAGTAGTAGTAGTAGTAGTAGTTAGTAGCAGTAGTAGTAGTAGTAGTAGTAGTAGTAGTAGTAGTAGTAGTAGTAGTAGTAGTAGTAGTAGTAGTAGTAGTAGTAGTAGTAGTAGTAGTAGTAGTAGTAGTAGTAGTAGTAGTAGTAGTAGTAGTAGTAGTAGTAGTAGTAGTAGTAGTAGTAGTAGTAGTAGTCGTAGTGGTAATCGTAGTGGTAGTAGTGGTAGTAGTAGCCGTGGTAGTAGTAATAGTAGTAGTAGTAGTAGTAGTAAGAGTAGTAGAAATAGTAGTAGTAATAGTAGTAGAAGTAGTAGTCGTAGTAACACGAATCGTAGCAGTAGCAATCGTAGTAGGAATGGTGGTCGTAGTAGTCGTGGTAGTGGCAATAATCGTGGTAGTAGTAGTAGTCGTAGTAGACGTCGTGAGAGTAGTAGCTGTTGTAGTATCAGTAGTAGTGGGATGAAGCAACCACTGGGCGCTCCGAGCCGTGGTGATCCAGTGGGGCGAGCCGTGGTGATGTGGCGCACGAGGCCGCAAGACGTAGTAGTCGCAGTCGTAGTAGTAGTCGTACAAGTAGTCGCAGTAATCGTAGTAGTAGTAGTAGTAGTAGTAGTAGTAGTAGTAGTAGTAGTAGTAGTAGTAGTAGTAGTAGTAGTAGTAGTAGTAGTAATAGTAGGAGTAGTAGTAGTAATAGTAGTAGTGCTAGTAGTAGTAATAGTAGTAGTAGTCGTAGTGGTAATCGTAGTGGTAGTAGTGGTAGTAGTAGCCGTGGTAGTAGTAATAGTAGTAGTAGTAGTAGTAGTAGTAGTAGTAGTAGTAGTAGAAATGGTAGTAGGAATAATAGTAGTAGTAGTACTAGTCGTAGTAACAAAAATCGTAGTAGTAGTAATCGTAGTAGGAATGGTGGTCGTAGTAGTCGCGGTAGTGGCAATAATCGTGGTAGTAGTAAGGGTAGTAGTAAGAGGAATAGAAGTAGTAGTAGTCGTAGTAGACGTCGTGAGAGTAGTAGCTGTTGTAGTAGCAGTAGTAGTGGGATGAGGCAACCACTGGGCGCTCCGAGCCGTGGTGATCCAGTGGGGCGAGCCGTGGTGATGTGGCGCACAAGGCCGCAAGACGTGATAGTCGCAGTTGTAGTAGTAGTCGCACAAGTAGTCGCAGTAGTAGTAGTAGTAGTAGTAGTAGTAGTAGTAGTAGTAGTAGTAGTAGTAGTAGTAGTAGTAGTAAGAATAGCAGGCAGCAGTAGTAGTACTATTAGTAGCCGTAGTAGTGGTAGTAATCGTCGTAGTCGTGGTAATCGTACTAGTTATGGCCGCAAGAATAGGTAGCAGTAGTAGTAGTAGTAGTAGTAGTAGTAGTACTACTACTACTACTACTACTACTACTACTAGTATTCGTAGTAGTGGTAGTAGTCGTACTAGTAGTTGTTGTTGTAGTGGTAATACTAGTTATAATGGTAATATTTGTTGATGTAATAGGGGTAGCAGTGGTCGTAATAGTCGTAATAATAATCGCAGTGGTTATAATAGCAGTAGTAGTATTGTTATGTTGCTGTTGGTTGTTAGTTTTGTTGTTGGTGTTGATATTGGTTGTTGTTGTTACAGGTGTTGTTGTTGGTCTTGTTGGTCATTATTGAGTGTTGTTGTTGATCGCCGTTGTTATTGGTTGTTTTTGTTTGCGTGTTTGTCTCTAGGG